AAAAACATCATGTTGCTATGTTGACATAAAAATATCTTAACTTACGTCATTTTGTCCACAGATAGTTTTGGAAAAAGTGTCAAAGTGTCTGGGCTACCAGCATACCCACGTGCGTCTAAGAACCTTTGCGATCCGTTGTTGAAAGGTGCTTCCTGATTGGTCTAAAATCAAACATGGTGAATTTGCGTACTCTGGAGAAAATCGCGCAAAGTTTCTTGGATTCCTTTTAAATCAAACACTAAATTCCTCATTAAGAGCTCAAATTGCTTAACTCTTCAAACGATGCGGCAATATAGCCGAAATATAATGCTCAGATATGATATGCAAAGTTAGTTATGAATGTGTAAAAGAAATAACGACGTGAGCAGCAGTGTTTTATCAATAAAAGTCCGAGCGTTTGGATTTGTAAGAATGCAATTTTGGTCATTGCACACCAAGAATACACTTAAAGTTATTATCATTTTGTCCGTATTGAGTCTTCAGTACAGCGTGTTTATTAAATTTGCTTTTTAATTGGTAGTGTGTTATTAGGAAGCATATAACCTCAAAAAACAATTGGGGATTAAAAAGGGCGAAGAAGAAAAAAGAAAGGTGATTTTAGTTGGTTTTTTTTAATAATAAGCTTATGTTYGGCCTTATGATTACCGCTATGCTTGACTTCATATTCCTTTGTCTTTTCTTTTGTTTTTTTCCTCTTATTCTGATTATGATGTAGTGTGAACCGGGAATTAGGCACTAGTAGGAMTTAAAAAAAATCTCTTATCAAAAATATATTTTTAACCAAAGTGGAGAGTACAGTGTAATTCCCCTTTTTTAACACCTTATTCGGCAAGAGCATTATTCCTTGATATGTTCAATTACATATGTGGTGGTTTGAAAAGGTAAAACTTGCAAAAAAAGCAAATTGATTAGATAAGTATTGTTTTGAATAAATACAAGGTGTTCAATTTTGATAAAGTTGTTCTTTTATTATTTTTTATCCAGTTTGTAAGAATTACTGATGAGTTTTGCCAAGTGTTGTTGAGTGTGTGTAACTATGGTTTTGACAAAGCCTTATTCCGGACAATGATCATTTTGCTTCCTGTTTTTATTTGTAATTAAGGAGATTTATAAGTAGTTTCTGGAACTTTGGTTGATTTCTGACCAATTTTAGTCGTAATATGGCATTTATGTTTGTTCCTATCAATTTTCGCAAACACGCCTATGTTTGTTTCTTGCCAATTAAGAAGCTAAACAAAAACTRCTAATATGCGGTTCTCTTATGCTGAGTCACTACAGGACAAATACAGTTTCTGGTCAATGAAGATTAAGATAGGCAATAAAACACCCCAAAAATGCTAATGATTCCAGTACTCCATTACTTGTTAACTTATATGAGCGGTTTTGTAATTCATAAGCTTTACTTYTTACAAAGCATTATTTGATTTGCCGCGTGCTTCATATTRTTTGCTCGAAGAGTTRCGGTTCCAGTAATTTAGGAAAATTACTGGAAAATCAAATATTCGAGGGYGACTAGYCTAATATAGCAATATTAAAACTTCACRCATGARAGACAATTATTGAAKACCGCTCTACAACTTTSAATTTTATTTCATTGCAATTTGGATAACACRAGACKCCAATATCCTYGTCCAGTAATTCTTATGTTTGAAAGTATTGCAAAATTGSCATACTTAAAATAGCTTCTGAATGCGGGATTTTTCTAATTTCCTCAGAAATTCAATGTAATTCAGTGACTTCAAAAGAGTAAAAAAAGACTATACATAAAAACTTTTAAAAGTGTGATATGGTCGGAAAGACCAGCATACACCATGACCTCATTACATGACAATTTTGCTACACAGATAGTTGCTAAAGAAGACATCTCTTGAGCTTCATCAAATTTGGGTCCAAGTTTGTTTTTATGTTAAAAAACTAAATTTAATTTCATATGTCAGTGATTTTAGTGAATAATGATTAGTATTCTTAATTTTCTAATTAAGAAAGAAAATACGTTATAATTCATATTTTTTTAACTTTGCTACTGCCTCAGCATTGATGTTCTGTGTGAATATCATTTAAAGTGTATGTTTAAGATAGTTTTACAATAGTCAAGMAAAAATGAGGATCAGCAGATCTTGGTTCGTCATGTTATGTTTTACTTCAGATCATTGTTTCAGTTGTATATACAAATTCATTTACACTAGTTCTGCAAAGATGAACAAAGAYTCGTAGAATGTCAAAGAGGCGGTGACAATACTTGACTTGATGTGGGATGACACCTAACAAGCTAAATACAWTCTTAGAATTTTGGTAAATTTGGATAGTCAATCATTTGACTTTGTAGTCTTGCAAATACATTTTCAAACTACCATGGAAACATGTCTGCAAACAAAGTATTTTTTTGTTCCAATTGGCAGAAAATATTTTATGTAATTGACAATCAGAAAATCTGTTTAATCAGTTGTCGTCAAGAAGACTATTATGCAGTGTGCATTCATGAGTGAAACTACCATGAAGTTCTTCTAGTGTGCATGGATTGGCTATAAGGATTACACAGTACATTGCATAAAAACAAGAAAGGAAACAATTGTAGACAAAAGCCTAACAAAGAATTTCTTTGTAATTCAATAAGGGTCTTAATAGAAAACAATTACGTTATATAACGCAGGAAATTGATTCAGGGCACTTCTACTTAAATAGAAGTTAATCAAGTCCATCGTCAAACCAGCGCCTTTGCGATGTACTTCACACTGCTGTTTTTCTTTCTCTCTGTCTTTGGACGAGTATCCACCAAAGGTATGTTTGCTTTTATGAGGGATTTTCCATGACGTTAGAGGGAATGTTTCAATACTAGAAAACCTAAGTTTGAAATTACTCCAGAAACGTCAAAACTACAGTTAAAAAACTTGAAATCCGAGGGTTGTCCAATACACACGAAACTAGACGGATCTTGCCAAAATATATATGTAATATATCTTTCGCTTGAAAATGAAAACCACAATGTTAATATAACGAAAACTTGTAAGAAAACCCTGCAATGAAAACTATTTTCAACTTCAAAGCAAAAAAATGCTGTATTATCGCCAGCAGATCATTCACAAATAGGTTTACAAACATAAAAAAGCTCCATCTTGGGAAAATTAAAATTGTGAGTATAGTTGTAACTATTTTTTATGCTTTCTTTCGTTCCGTTGGTAAGATCTAAAATTGCAAAAGAGAATCTGGTGTCAAACAAAACAGCGCTCAGTTGTTTTGAAAATGGACCACTACAATTCATTCAAAAGCAAATGATGAAAAGGTCCACAGTTTTCTTAATAGGTGCAACAGACAATCAACATGATTAGCCTTTGTATGATCTGGACTTGCAATAAAATTATCAGGCAATGTAAAAGTCCTTTTGGCATGTCAGTTGTTAGGGGGATTACTTGACAAAGTTTAATAGTTCGATTCGATTGTTATGGGTGCAAACTTGGATAGCCAAGAAAAAAGATGCTCACAAATTTCTGTGTTTATAAACACCCAGAGAAGACAAAATTACTGTTGGTTTGCTCACTAAGTAAATAACTTCCTGTAAAAAAAGCTGACAGAGCATAAGTTACATAGTGTGGTAAAGGTGTGGATAATGTTAGATGTTGAGGGCTATGGGTATGGTTACATACTTTGACAAGTTTTGAACCTCTTRATTTAAAATTATAGAGGAAGAAATTTTATATCAAACATTTTTCATTGAAAAGTGTTCAAMCAACTTTCCATAGTCTTTTTAAAGACTAAAATTAGAATTAAAATTTTATCTGAGAAATCATKATATGATATRAAAATTGTATAGAAATAGGATTATTCCTTACCTTGAATTTCAGACAAGATTTTGGATCACATTCTGTTTTCTCCATGTGATTTTAATGGTTGCATCGGAATATAGAACAACTATCATTGTTATATTGGTAAATTATTTTCACTGTTTTCTCGCTCTCTTATTTGACGTGTCACGTGTCCGGAGCTAAAATCAACTGTTGACTGATTGGTCAACAGTTTGACGATTGTTGACCGCTTGGCCATTGGCGGGAAAAGGCCGTCTCGCGTCGAGTAAAAGTTCGTAAAAGCGGGAATGGTTTTTGTTGCTTTCGACTGTTTACAAAATGGAGCCGGCATCAAAACAGATTTTCAAATCTTAGTCAAGAAATAGACGAAATGGTTGTCAACAAAGACTTGGAAAACACTAACAAAGCTACAAAGACTGCTTCGGAAAACATCAGCGGTCTGACATACTGTTTCCCTCAGTTCCAGTAAATAAGTGTTAAATGGAAAACCTTCGAATTCCTTAAAGAGCGAAGCAACAAAATCCTTTGACTTTTAAAGCAATAACACACGATAGAGTTGTTTCGGAATTTTAGATAAACATACTAAAACCTTTGGCTTTTAGAGAACGAAGCAACTTACACACGATAGAGTTGTATCGGAATAATAGATAATATACTAATAGAAAACCTTTGCCGCTTTTAAGAACGAAGCAATAACACACGATAGAGTTGTATATTGTAGCATACCATTGAAGAATGGCGTGAACTATGCCGGCTGTATTAGATTATTAATTCATACCACTTCAAGAACAACGGTACGGTATTAAAAAAAAGAAATTGTAAGGATAAAGAATCGAGATCAAAAATGCCTGTACGAGCTTTCCGTGAAAGCTAAAGGGATCTTTCTCAAGCATTATCAAACTAGTCTCGTCCAAA